TGCCAGATGTTTCCAATGAAGAGTTTCCAGGCTTCCGAAGCGCAGGGCTTTCCTTGTTCAGTGATGCGTGGCACCTGTGCCGAACTTGGATTCCCTGGTTCGATACTCTGGGTGGGAGCAAATTCTGCGACGAAATCTGCTAAGACCTAGGCCTTAATTGTTGTCCTGGGTTGATACCGAATGTCAAACTCGCCAAGTTCTACTGCCCATTTTACTGTTCTGCCAGAGAAATCAGCTCGGCTAAATACAGATCTGAGGGGGAATTCAGTGAGGACATTGATGGTATGCCCCTGGAAGTAATGTTGTAACTTCCTTGAGGCGATATGCAGTGCGTAAGCTAACTTTTCCAATGGTAGATACCGTGTCTCGGCATCTAGTAAAGTCTTGCTAACGTAGTATACAGGCCTCTGTTCCTTGTTAACTTCTCGAATTAATATTGCGCTTACGGCATGATCTGAGACTGCTAGATAGAGGTACAGCTCCTCTCCTGGCTCTGGAGTGGACAAAAGAGAGGTGTACTGAGGTATCTTTTAAGGCTTTGCAGTGCTTCGGTGCACTTGCAACTCCATTCAAATGCTGTATTTTTCCTCAAAAGTTGGAAGAAGGGCTTCATCCGATCTGAAGATTTGCTGATGAATCGATTTAATGCGGCCGCCATTCCGACCAGTTTCTGCAGCTCCTTAGCCTTTGTTGGTACTTTAAGATCTTGTATTGCTTTTATTTGGTCCGGATTTGCCTCAATTCCTCTGTGAGTGACCATATATCCCAAGAACTTCCCTGTTCCTACCCCGAAAGCGCATTTCGAGGCATTGAGGCGAAGCTGATGGTCTTTTAGTATGCCAAAGACTTCTCTCAAGTCTGTAAGATGGTCTGTAGCGAGCTTGCTTTTGACTACCATATCATCTATATAAGCTTCCATGGTTTTCCCAAGTTGGTCTTTGAACATCTGAGTGATCATCCGCTAGTAGGTTGCTCCGGCGTTCTTAAGGCCGAACGGTATCACTTTGTAGCAGTAAGTTCCTCTCGGAGTGATAAATGTTGTCTTTTCTTGATCCAGACCGAACAGTGATATCTGATGATAACTGCTATAAGCGTCCAGAAAGCTCATGCGCTCATGCCCTGCTGTTGAGTCTACTAGTTGATCAATGCGAGGCAGCGGAAAGCTATCTTTAGGGCAAGCTTTGTTCAAGCAAGTGAAGTCCACGCAAACTCTCTATTTTCCGTTTTTCTTCTTGACTACAACTATGTTGGACAGCCATTGCGGGTACTAAACTTCTTTGATTGCTCTTGAAGCCAGGAGTTTTTCAACTTCAGTAATTACTACTTCGGTGTGCTCAACTGAGGATCTCCGACTTTTCTGCACAATGGGCCGAGCTGAAGGGTTGATGTTGAGCTTGTGGCAAGCAAATTCTAGGTCAAACCCTGGAGTATCATATGCTGACCATGCGAATACCTCCATATTTTCCCTCAGCACTTCCAGCAGCTGAAGTTTCTCATCAGCGCCTAGCGAGGTACCGATAAGGAAGTACTTTTCTAGGTTATCCTTTTTTACCAGGACTTTCTCTAAATCCTCTACTATCTTCTCCTCTGGGGCTCCCCCTACGTCTTCCAAGACTGGCTATTCGGCCACCTCTACTGTCTGTACCTGATTGCAGAGCTGCTTTGCCTTTAGTGCCGCCATGAAGCAATGTTTGGACGCAACCTGATCCCCTGAGATCTGCTCTACTTCGTGTTCCGTTGGGAAACGGATGAGCTGGTGGTAAGTTGAAGGGACCGCCTCCATTTGATGAATCCATGGACGGCCAAGTATGGCGTTGTAAGGGGATGGTGTATTAATAACCAAGAACTCTATTTGGAGGGTTTTCGTTCCCACCACGACTGGCAATACTATTCTGCCAAGCGGCTATTCTGGCTGTGAATTAAAGCCAACAAACGGGGCCACCGCTGGGGTGAGATGCTGCTCAGAGAGACCAAGCTTTCTGAACAAGTCATAATACAAGATGTCTGCTGCATTACCTTGATCTACCAGGACTCGTTTTACATCAAATCATTTTCCAATTCCCACAGTTATAATTAATGCATGAGTATGTGGGTACTGTATGCCCTCTAAATCTTTTCTAGTAAATAAAACAGTGCACAAGGGGGATTTAGGTACTGTACGTACCTTTTTCGATGCGGGTTCCACTGACATGACCTGTTGAATTTGCGCAGCCTTAGAGGGCATTTTCTGATTCCCACAGTTATAATTAATGCATCAGTATGTGGGTACTGTATGCCCTCTAAATCTTTTCTAGTAAATGAAACAGTGCACAAGGGGGATTTAGGTACTGTACGTATCTTTTTCGATGCGGGTTCCACTGACATGACCTGTAGAATTTGCGTAGCCTTAGCAATCTCTTCTTTCAGTGTCTCCTCAGATTCTTGAGTTGCTGTTCCATGGATCACATTTATTATCAACCGAGGTTGATGCTCAATATTCGGTTCTGGTGGTGGGTTCCCCGGTTCGGTCACTTCTTTATCTTGATCAATGCAGTCCTGGAGGTGCCCAGCCGCTACTAAGTCTTCCAAGTGTTGTTTCAGTGCTCTGCAGTTCTGAGTCATGTGCCCCCTATCTTGATGGTAAGTGCATCTGAGCTTCTGATTGCGCCGAGCCGGGTCTCCCAACATTTTCGGCGGCCAAACAAAGAAGGGCTCTCTCTTGATCTTTTCCAAGATTCGATAGATTGGCTCTTTGAACACAGTCACGACGGCTTCGTGGGATTTGGACTTATCCACTTCATTCACTGCGATCCCTCTGTGTTCTCCTCGATCTGTTCTCTTCTTGTGCCGAGCTGTTTGTTCTGCTGATGCTACCTCAATGGGGATCTGATTGTCTTCGAGGCGAGCATACTGCTCGATCCTGGCACGCAAGTCTTTTAATGCCGTGGCTGGGCGCTTGGTAAGTGATTGCCTCAACTTACTTTCCGAGCGCAGGCCATGTTTGAAAGACAAAACGGCCATCTGTTCACTACACACATTTTCCTCCAGATCGTTGTATTCTTCCCAGTACCTCCTAGCATAATTGCGCAGCGTTTCTTCCTGCTCCTTTCGAAGGCTGAACAGTGTATCCGGCTCTTTTGGAATCTTAGTGTTGGAGACGAACCTGGCTAAGAACTCTTCGGAGAGTTGCTTCCAGCCACGTATCGATCCAGTGGGGAGTCGATCGAACCATTGAAGTCTGGTCTCTCCCAAGCTGGATGGGAAGACTTTGCACATCAGTGCCTCATCTCGGCTCCATAGAGACATCATTTGTCTGTAATGGCTAATATGCGTCAGCGGGTCCGATTTTCAATCGTATGAAGTGAACTTTGGTGGGGTGAATTTCTTTGGAGGCCTCATGGCTTCAATTTCCGGGGAGAATGGTGAGGAGACGAGCCTATCTAGCGCTCGGTGTTCTCTCTGGTGAATAGTACGATCCAGGTGATCCCGATGTTGTTCGTTCTGCTTGTTGCCGATCAACCAAGTACGAAGGTCTTGTGGGGGGTACTCAGTTTGCTGACTGACTGTCTTCTGCCTCTTAGCCCTTCTCCGGCGTGACCCACAGGTGTGGCTGCTTGCCGCTTCACTCTGTACCGGGATAGGCTGGCTTCGTTGCCCAGACTCATTTCTGGGGAATTTTTTCACTGGTGGCTCTCTGGATGAGCTCCTTCGTGGTAGACGAGAGGGTTTTGCTTCCGTCCTTTTTTCCGTTGGATCACCCAGCACCCTTTTAAGTTAGGCTTTCAGCTCTTGTACCTCCATCCCCATGGAGCCTATGATTCGATCTCTATAATCCTTTTCCAGAAGAAAGTGATGAGAAGAACCTCCAGTGAAGGGTAATCGATGCTCAACGAATTCAAGAGTCCGGTTGTTGTTTCCAGTTTGTTCTTCCAGAATTGTTGGGAGTGCCAAACCTTTATCCCTCGTCTTCTCCGTCTGCGGAGTATGTGTTGAAGGCGGAACGTCCTCAATCCCCATCGCCGGAACTGAGTGCAGAGCTTAGAGATGAAGTGGTCCACGCTCACCGCACCAATTGTGCGTACCGGATTTCGCACTAGATGAAAGTGGATCGGGGCCCTGCACTTGGTTGGACTATCCAGGGACTGAGGTTCCTGCCACAAGAAGCACCGTTAGAGCTGCCCGACCGGGGTTGGCTGGATAACCCCTCCAGTGTGGGAATTAGTAATCGGAGAAGAAGTGTATATTGAATTGAGTCTATCTCTGAGTGTGATTTTGCATGGAATAGTTCCTCCCCTTCAATGTGAAGTTCATGTAGTATATATATAGGGTTCCTTGCTTGCTTCTCAAGATGGGTTCATGGAGCTTGGATGCTGCCAGGTGTCCTTTTAGCATTGGTCAAGGTGGGGGACCACCTGGTAATTGTCATTGAATGCCTATACTCATTGTAGTCATGCTGATAACAAACCACATTCCTTTGGTTCAACAACTTCCGTGATTCTAGGTGTAGGGGACCAACTGAGGTGGCAACTTGCATGTGCACACGTTCACAACTTCTACGTTTTCCTGTGAGGTGCCCTCTGCTCGGTATCTAGGTACCTCGGTTCGGCCTTATTCAAAGCTTCCGTTGGGACGGGCTGGTCTATTCGGATATCTTAGTGTGGGCTTGGCCCATATCTGTTCGGCCCAAAGGTTTGGTCCTGCAGCTCGGCCCAGTCCAGCGTCGCAGCTGAACTAGCCTTTCCATTGCGGGTTGGGTCCAAGTATTTGAGGACTTGGGTAGACTGTTGATCATGGAGTTGGGCTCAATTGACTTGCCCATATATTCATCTAATCCATTTAAACTTAGGTTTTATTAGATTGGGCCGGCCCAAGGCTTGGATTCGACCCATTTCATATTCAGCCCCTTCAAAAATGTATTTGGCTTTGGCTAGACATGGCTTTGGGGACTTTTTTATTAGTTACTCTATCTGTTTTGAATTAAACTTTTTTCTACAATTTTTTTTACTGTTTGGTACATATGCAATTGGGAACAAATAATTATAGGAGGAAATATTTTACACCCCATAACTGAAAATTGATTTATGAAATGGACTAATTTTACAGAGAGAGATATGGGTATTGTTCATAAGTATGTGTATAAATTTACATTGGGAAAGAGATTTGTTCATATAATGTAAGTAATATACACTATTTCATTGACTTATTTTGAATTTTTGATAGGATCACTAATGAGATGATCGCACTAGGGGGAGAGGGTGTGCAAGATCAACCACACTTTCTCAACGTACGTGTCATTTTCTAATTCAATTTTTAATTTTTTATTGTGAATTAATGGGACAGTGAAAAAATAATTATATTATAGATTAATTTTTTTTTGATGTAACTCTAATACACTGGAAAGAGTTGCACCAGACACAAGAAGGACTTGCACCATGCACACAGGACATTTGCACTACCACAAAAATAAATATTCTTTCACTGTTTCACTGAGTTGCAATTTTCCTTTTTTGTCAACAAAAAATGCTATATTTTAATATTGATTTCTCAAATTTGATCTCGGTTTGTCAAAGAAAAATTTATTACCTATCTATATTTTTTTTTTCAAGTAACTAAACCCAAAAAAATTGATTTTTATTTTATGAATATCTGTTTTTTTTTTTTTTTTCCCTAATCACCAAAATATAGGAAACAAAATACTTTATTTAGTTCTCTTCTTTCTTTTTTCTTCTACAAAAATTTTTGCAAATTCAAAATTCAAACATGTCCACCCATGAAAGAAGTCTTTATTTTATTATTGATTTATTTTTTGATGAGGTACTAGTATAATTATGTTAAAATTATAGGAGTTTTTTTTTTATTTAAATTTATAGAAAGTTAGTTACCATGTTTGGTTCCACAAAATTGATTTCACTTTTAAAAAAATTAAGTTTTTTATTTTACATGTTTTTTTATTTTCAGTAAATTTTTTTAATATTTACACAATTTTTTTATTATTTAGATACACTTAATCTAAATATGCTTAAAATGTATAATATTTTCACCAAATAAAAAATATATAAAACATAGATTTTTGTATTTTGTTGCATTCAATGAATTTTTTTAAAAAAATTGTATAAATTTTGTACTTTTTAAGTATATTAAGATTAAGTGAATATAATTGTTTTTAAAAAAATGATTAAAATATTTTTAAAAACTCATTAAAAATATAAAAATGCGAATTAAAACTCAAAAAATTATTTTTGAAAACTAAAAACTAATATAATTTGCATTTTTTTTTTTTGTTGGACTAGTCGTAAACTGAGTTTCTCAATTTTACATAGAGCAAAGGATGGTAAAATAGAAGTTTCATGATACAATAAAATTATCAATTGAGAATAAATAGCTACAACCGAAGGTCACAACACTGATAAATACTAAGAGACTAGCAGAGGATAAAAAACCTAAAGATGAAGGAATAATCATAAGGATCAACTCGGACATTTTTGGATCCAAATGTGGTGTATGTTTGGAAGGATTCAAGCATGGGACAAGAATAATAGTCCATTCGAACTAATAGTTCGTTGTTTGATTCAAAAATTTTGTACTGGATTATAAATTCCAAATCTATGGGATTGTTCTATCCCATAGGGGGTGGGACACAATCCATAGGATAACTCATTCCATGAGATTAGGTAGTGAAATTATATTTTTGACCCTCTACTATTTAATATATTTTTAAAAATAAAACTTATTTATTATATTATTTATACTTTATTAAATTATTTATTTTAATAATGATATGGTATTAATTATACTTAGTAAAGTAAAATAAAATTTAAAAATCTCAACTACAAATTAAAATAAATTTATGTAATTTTTATTAATATTCTATTTATTTAATTTTTTAAATGTTCTAGTAAAAAACTTAAATAAAATTTATAATTCAGATTTAATATTCTTATTATTTAGTAAATAATTCAAAAGGGCAAAATAGTCTTTTGAACATTTATCGTTCTCCATGATATTTCAAACAAACATAGGATTTGATAAAATAGTCCAATCTAAACATCTAATCACATGACTAAACAAACATAAGATACAAATCCAGTTCAACCAAATAGTCCGAGGACAATGTATCCCAAGACTAACAGTCCAGTGGATTACTATCCCTCCTTATCCAGTCGGTCCAAACAAACATGCCCAAAGTAGACTCTCATATGGCACCTTTTATTTATTTAAAAAAATAATAAAAAATTGTGATCAATAGATTGTGTATTTATTTTGTTTACAGTGCTTCCTATAAGATGCTTTTCGGGGTTATCGAGCGCGTTCAATAGTTCAGACTTTGATCTCTTGATCTTGTCTCACAAGTACAATGTAAAATGGAAATGAGAGTCCAAATTCAATAACTTCTATAGAAAATTCATTTTATAACAAATAATTTGTCAGAAATAGACCACATCACCAAATTTTAAAGTCGCCACCTCATCTTTTGGAAAAACTAGAGAACTCATGACTCGTGCCAAAGGTCACCGTCCATCATAACCAAAGTGTATTAGTTCAGGAACTTAGGTATAAGCGGGAAAGGTCATTAATTTAGTACTTCCGCTCACTCGATCAAATGATCGACCTCTACTAAGTCATTATACAAGTTTTATATTCGATATATGCTCGTGTTCTGATTTTAATAGTGCTAACATTACTATCTGAGACAAACAAATATAGATTGTGTCATTTATTCTGGTTATACTTTGATTTCATGCCTTTTTGAAAGCCTTTTGTACAATTCACAGAAAATTGAGTTCAAAAGCATAAGAATATCTTTCTAATACAAGCAATACAACTTCCATCCACTAGTATTCATATAGATATTCCACAAAAGCAAGTAGCCACATAATGTAATGCCAAACATAGTAGACACAATATACACGCACAAGATGCTAAGACTGGAAATTCTTACCTAGTACTCCTTCGTGATAAGCCAAAAGCAATATGGTAAAAAAAATGTATGCATGATTCTATATGTAAATATCTAGTGCAAGACATACAAGAAATGCACCTAAAGATCTAGCTACTAGTACATGATATGTGAAACATTTCAAGTCATGGGGTAACACATAGAACCACGTCAAAAATGATAAATCTCATAGATGTAGATGAAAGGAATCTGAATGTATGAAAAATGGATGCAAGACATGGATATAATAAATAAACACATGATGTGGCATACACAAAAAGCTTATAAATAAAAGGGATAGAAAAATGTGGGGTTAAAAGTTATTACAACAATTCAATGAATAAGAAAACAAAATAACGTGTGGTTGGAA